CTGTTGTAGAATGAAAGAATCCATAGACAATGGGCATGCAGGTTAAGTATAACTGAATACCAGTAAAACTATTCATGAACACTGAAATTTGAACTTCACGTGATTTTCATGCGTTAAGAAATACAATTCTGCTTGTGAATTTTTAAACCCCTTAAAAATGTAAAACTACTGATAGTTGGCTAGTCATACAAAATCAGACAACAGGCCAGATCTGACCCACAAACCATACTCTGAATAACTTTAGGACTCAAATCATACAGATAATGTTCTCCAACACAATAAAATTTTAAAAAACCAAAACCAAAAGAAAAATTTGGAATTCCACAAATATTTGGAAATTAAACGATACATTTCTAAATTACCCATGAGTCAAAGAAGAAATCACAAATTTTTTTTCACAAGCAAAATTAATGGAAAGTACTGTGAACTGAATTATAATAAAAATCACAGTATCAAAATGTATGAGCTGAGAGGACACTAAAAATGGTGGAATAGGGAGCTCCTAGGATCCAATTCTCCACTGAAATTATTAAGGTGGCAAAAAAATGTAAGAATCAACTTTTTCAGAACTCTAAACCTAATCAGAAACTTACTACAATCAGGACAGTGCTTAAAGAAGAAAGGGGCTGTAAATTTTGTCATTTAAAGAAATCTTATCAGGACACTGCCTAACAACAAAGATAATGGAATGGAGACTTTAGTGACCACATATGACAAGGAATATAGTCTGCAAAAATAGTTTAGACTTTAAACAAGTGGCCTGTCATTAAACAAGTGGATGACTGCACCCCACAAGAAGCAACAACACAAACCCTGGGGAGGGGGGAAATATTCTGATTTCCAGAGCCACCATACTATAAAATTCAAGGTGCCTACTTATCAAGACAGATTTTCATTAAAACTTTATTAGGCATGTAAACAAACAAGTAAGTATGGCCCATAACATAAAAAAGTTAACAGAAAGTGTCCCCAACGAAGCCCAGACATTAGACTTTCTAAAAAAAATCAACTATCATAAATATGCCAAAGAGCTAACAGAAACCAGGGATAAAAACTAAAGGAAACCAGGAGAACAGCATATCAAAAAACAGAAAATAACAATAAAGAGACAGAAATTACAAAAAGGGACCAAATACAAATTCTGAAACTGAAAAGCACAATAACTGAAATGAAAAATTCCCTGAATTTTAGAGGGGTTCAACATAAAATTTCAATAGGCTGAAGAAAGAATAAATGACCAGGAAGATAGGTAAATTACGATTATCTAGTCTGAGGAATGGAAAAAGAAAAAACTGAAGAAAGATGAAAAGAGCCTAAGAGACAACATCAAGTGTACCAACATATGCAAAATGAGAGGTCCAGAACAAAAAAGAGTCATAAAGAATATGTGAACAGCGGCCAATCTATGAAACTTAAAACAATTCAATGAACCCCAAAGAGAATAAACTCAAAGACATCCACAGTGAGATGTAGTATAATCACACCTGAAATCCCCAAAAAGAATCCTACAAGCAAGAAAAGAGAAGCAACCCATCATCAGACATCATGGAGGCCAGAAGGCAGTGCAATGACATATTTAAAGTGCTGAAAAGAAAAAAGCTGTCAACCAACAAATCTATATCTGATAAAAAATGTCTTTCAAAAATAAAGGAAAGAGAGCAACTTATGGCATGACAGTATGAGGAGCTTGAGTGACCTGCTGCTCCCCACTGAAACTGATGAAAACTGTTTTTTTAAAAAGCCATTTAAAGCCTCCGGAAACTGATCTAAGGACAAACAGCAAATGAAGAAACATATATTCAAGAACAACTTCAAAAATTCACTAAGAAAGATGAGTCTGTATCTGAACCAAAACCACTGCCTCCCTCCCTCTCTCATCTCAGCTCAGGGAAGGGGAATCTCCTCCACTCCAGATTCCTGCAACCAAGAACACAGGGCTCCCTTTCCACCCCTCCCCTCCAGGTCCCATTCAGAGGGCTTTCTTCCCAGGAGAAAGAGAGTTTCTCATCCAGCCCCGAGTTGCCTGTTAAAAGGGTTGAGTCCTGAGCAAGTGTGGTTGAGAGGCAGGTGTTCCAGCCCTTCCAGCCCCCACTGGTGGAATGTATACTTTATTGGGTGTGGGGCATGGAAAAGACCAGGACCCTGATCATCCCAGCCCTGGGTTAGGAGGAAAAGCAAACCCAGATGACCTCTGGCTACACCCTCCCCTCCACAAAATACTGTCACTCAGAGAGAAACTTGCCATTGTTCCTATCCCACCTCCAGAGACCCAGCTCAGAGCTTTAGTTTGAGGGAAGCAGCAGACATTAAAACAGATGGCTCTTAATTTCTTCCCACAGGGACCGACTTCATTTGCAAGAGCATGGAGAAGGTCAAGCCTAAAGGAGTCCTAAAAAAACAAGGTTGTAGCAAAAGCCAATTAGCAGATTCAAGATACAGAGGCTAAACTGTAGGTAAGCTAGTTTGCAGGAGAGAAAGGAGGACTAAAACAACTGGGAAGAGCCCACCTAGGGTCAGAACAAATATCAAACACTAATCTCAAAAACTATTTCTTCAAAGGACCCACATTTTGATTGGATTAACTTTGAGTAGTTTATGCCCCAGGGCATTATGGAAAACAATTAAACAATAAGTTCCCAGCAAGGGGATCTTGGCTGCTGGGTGTGATAAGGGAAAGATAGTCCTAACAAAACCAGCCATCCCAGGGTGATTGTGGGCATATTCAAATTGCCCCTCCCTGAGGACCACCATCTGAGGACTAACCTTGTGGGAAAGACGACTACAATGAGATACGACTTCACATCCATTAGGATGACTAGAATGGATGAAGTCAGATAATGACAAGTGTTGGTGAGAATTTAGACAAGTTAGAGCCCTAATACACTGTTGCTGTGAACGTAAAATGGTTGCAGCCACTTTGGAAAAGAGTTGGGCTGTTTCTCCAACAATTAAACATAGCTACATAAGACCCAGCAAAAACACTCTTAAGTATACACCCAGAGAAATGAAAACATATGTCTACAAAGAAATTTGTACATGAATGTTTTAGCAGAATTACTCTTAATAGCCTAAAGGTGGAAACAATCTAAATGTCCATCAATGAATGAATGCATAAACAAAATGTGGTATATTCATAATACGGAACATTATTCAGCCACAAATAGAATGAAGTACTGATACATGCTACAACATGGATGAACGCTGAAGCATGCTAAGTAAAAGAAGCCAATCACAACAGACCACGTATTATATGATTCCATTCATACAGAATGTTCAAAACTGGAAAATCTATAGAGAAAAAAAGTAGATTAGTGGTTGCCTAGGGCTGGGCGGATAGGGTTCAAGGAGATATGGGGTTATGGCTAATAAAATGCACGGACTTCTTGGGGTGATGAAAATATTCTAAAATGACTGTAGTGATGGCTGTGCATAGATTAAAAACCACTGAACCCTAACCAGTTTAGGGTTTAACCCAGTTAAACAGGTAACTGTATGGTATGTGAATTATATTTAAATATATCTGTCAAAAGAACTGAAAGGAGAAATTAAGGCATTTGCAGATAAAGAAAATATGAGGGAATTTGTTGCTAATAGACCTACCCTACAAGAACTGCCAAAGGGACTTCTTCAGGCTAAAATTAAAGGAAAATAGAAAGTAACTCAAAAGTGTATGAAAAAATAAAGAACATGGGTAGAGATAACTACATAGATAAATATAAAAGCCAGTACTATTGTGTTTTTGGTTTGTAACTCCTCTTATTTTTTCTTCATATGACTTAAATAAATGGACAAGCTGATCCTAAAATTCCTATCAATTGCAAGGGGCTTAGAAAGCCAAAACAACCTTGAAAAAGAAGAACAAAATTGGAGCGACATTTTGCAATTTTAAAACTTACTACAATCTACAGTAATCAAAGTAGTGTGGTACTAGCATAAGGACAGATACTAAGACAAACAGAATAAATTTGAAAGACGTGAAATAAACCTATATATCTGTGGCTGATTTCAACAAGGATGCCAAGACCATTCAACAGGGAATGAACAGTCTCTTGAACATATGGTACTGGGACAACTGGCTATGTGCATGTAAAAGAATGCAGTTGGACCTCACACCAAATACAAAAATTAACTCAAAAATGGATCAATGACATAAATACAAGAGCTAAAACCATAAAACATTTAGAATACACAGAGATAAATCTTCATGACTTTGGATTTGAAAAAAATTCTTAGATTTGACACCAAGAGCACATGCAACAAAAGAAAAAAATTGACAAATTGGACTTCAAATTTAAAAAAAAAATTGTACACCAAACCAAAGGACATCATAAAGAGTGAAAAATACCTACAGAATGGGGAAAAAACTTCCAAACCATATATATAACAGTTCAGAATATATAAAGAATTCTTAAAACTCAACAAAAATACCCAAATTAAAAAATGGACAAATGACCTGAATAGACATTTCTGCAAAGAAAATATACAAATGGCTAACAAGTACATGGAAACATGCCCCAAATCAGTCTTTAGGAAAACGCAAATCAAATCCATGACATACCACTTCAAACCTACTAAAATGGTTAATTTTCTTAAAAAAAAAAAAAAAACAGGAAGTAACAAGCATTGCCAAGGAAGCATGGTAATTCTACGTTTAACCTACAGCAATATTGCCAAACTATTTCCCACAGCAGCTGCACCATTTTATATCCCAAAAGCAATGTACAAGGTTCCGATTTCTCTACTTCCTTACCAACACTTATTTCCTGTTTTTTTCTTTTAATTAGATTCTGCCTTCAACTTAGAAGAATCTTCAAATGGCCCCTGTTTCTGTAATCCAGGTAACAGGCACTTAAAAATTCATCTTTTTTATTGACTTTTCTTTTAAAAATTTCTCTTCAAAATTTATTTTAAAAAAATAACCCATCTTAGAAGTAGTTCACACGTCACAAAAGTTTAAGAAATGCATGGGAAATATAATCACTGTTTAAAATAATGGTTACCTCTGGGGATGAAGGAAGAAAAGAGATGAATCCAGGAATGGGTACGCAGAGAACTTCAACTATCATAGTAATGTATTATTTTTAACGTCTGGATGATAAAACAGAGGTTCACTGTATTTTTTTTTTTTGCATCTCTCATTGTGTTATTCTTTGTATGTTTGTATATCTTAAGTACTTATTTCCTAACAGATGTGGAAATCCCCTCAAAAAAGACAGAAAAAAAAAGTTAATCTTACATTCCCTCATCACCCCTCCCACCAAAGACACAGGATCATACTAGGTATCTGCAACTTACTTTTCTCACATAACAATCTAACATTCTCTAGATCAAAAGTGTGTAACGAGGTAAATCTGTTTCTACAGCTGCAAAGTATTTCATAACACCAATGTCCCACAATTTATTCATTCTTTAGATGGATATACAGATTGTTTCCAGTTACTCGTCATAAAAACAAAGTTGCAAAATTTTTACTGTCTTCCCCAAACATGTTATGCTTAATATAACTTTTATTTTCACCAAGAGATTTGAACACGGAAAATCTAGTTCTTTTCCTACTCAGTGAGAAAACAAGGTAATAATCCAAAAAATAACGTAACAATTCCCCCAAAGATTACCTGTACACAGACGCACATACCTACCTCTGAACAGAACAATGTGCTTCCAGAACAAATGTTAATATTACAATGCCCAGAGGTCTTCATCTGAAACATAAAGGGCATTAAAAAACCTTTTTTTAATCTAGCCTATGAGTATGCTACAGACTGATTAGTTTATCAAAACTATAACGTTTGCACGCGAAATACAGCACGAAGAAAGTAAGAGAAAGTAGGTCTAACAGGTTAGGCTGTTCCTGAAAGCGCCCTGGGGACACAAGATCTTTCATTTTGGGCCCGCATGGTATCAATAAAAACCCATTTAAACGAGAAAAAATGAGAGGAAAACGGCTCAGAATCCCTCCTACGAGCTAATATCCGCAACCGTCTAGCTTCATCAGTGGTGGTAAGGTGACTAAAGAAAGAGAAATTACTCTTCGATATTTTATAGAGAGGCGAGAGAGAAAAAGGAAGAACAGGCCGGCTCCTCCCCGAACTCAGGCCGGCCACGCGATCCCGAAGTGGGGAGCCTTACTAACGGACACTTTTCTAGCTGATGTGAACCTCAGCACTCACCACAAAACAAAAGTTGGCGAGCTTCTGTACTTCCCTCAGATTTGTTCATTGGCTGCTTTCCACACCTGGTACGCCAGCTGTACTTTCCCTCAGTACGAACGCCGCCATCTTAGGTCTCAGATGAGCTCTAGGGGATAGGGCGATAAAAGCCTGGAATGGGCGTCACAGCCAAATAGGTCCGCGCCCAACCGCCGTTGCAATGCTGAAATGGCTCCGCCGGCAACGTGACCCAGCTTCCCTGCGGCCCCTCCCCCAGTTTTCCAGAGCGATTGCGCTTTCTCTTACAGCCTTTATCTTCATCGAAATTGCCTCGTTCTTCCTCCTTCGTTTTTTTCTTTTTCTTTTTCCACCCCAAATTTCTTTTACCTTTGCCTCCACTCCTTTCTTCTTTCTACATGGTATATATCTCTCGTTCTCCTCGACTTTCAGTTACCTCACAGGTGTACGGCATTTTATGACAAAACTGTCGTTCTGTTATTTTGCCAAATTATTGTAATACTATAAGGTAAGCTGGGGACTGATTTTCCCAATTTTATAGATAAGGAAACTAAGGCCCGGAAGAGGTGAACCAATTTTCCAAAAGCTGCAACAGCTAGTAAATGGTAACAGCTAGTAAGTGCTAGTTAAGAGTGGACAGAACCTAATTCTTTTTGCTCCAGTGAGCCCCGTGCTGCTAGTGATCAAGGTCTACTTAATCCAACTAATTGAAAAGGTGGGAAAACTGAAGACAGAAATAGGAAGGGTTTGGGCCTAAATTCATACAGTGAGTCAGTGACAAAACTGGATTCAAAACAAGTTGCTTCCTTGTTTAATTCCGTAATAGTAAGCATCTTCATAAAGGGGTTGGGATGCTGTTCTCCAGCCTAAAGCTCCTTTCTCTACTGACTGATCAGCCCTGACTCCTTTAAGAAGCCTCTGTATTTATCAAAACGTTTATCTTTTTCTGGCCCTCTCCATGAGGAAAAATACACTAGCTGGATGTGAGCCCCCAAAACACGTCTGAAAAATGAGGCTGAAACTTCTTTGTGAAGCATTGTGCCTGAATGGTGTGAAAGATTAGTAAGGGAAGGTTTGTGCTGCCTAAGTATGGAAAAGACAATTTAGCGGTCCTAATCCCTTTCCAAAGGTTCTCTCTCCATTCTAATGTTATCTCTAGCTTTGTAGAAGAACCCGCATAGAATATGCTTATTCTATATCTTTGCATCATTACTTTTGCTTTTTTTGTTTTGATAATTGTCACCTTCAAATAGAGGTTAATCGTAGAGAATTGTGTAAACTTCCAGGCCTTGATTTATGGCCATTCTTGTGTAAAACATTGCATGGAGCCAATCTGTGTTGTCAGTAATCTGTGTAGTGAGATGAGGTCTTAGTTTAAGCTTGAGGTGTGTCATTGCCTGGGCTTTAGACAAGTGTGAGCACATCTTGGAAACTGGTAGGGCAAACACCAGGAGTCAATTGCAGAAGGAACTCCTGACCTCTTGAGAAATAACTTATCCCAAGAGAGGAGGGAGTCAGGCAAACAACCTAGGATAAAGGGAAAATCAATTCTTAGTATTGCAGGGGATTTCGTTGTACTACAAAGTGTATTTATTTTGAGCCAGTTACACAGTATCTCTCTACATCAATTTAAGGGTAAGTAGAAAAATGGAGAGCATTGAGTGAAACCTATTTCAGTTTTGCTCTGATGACTCACAGGACTTTTTCTTTCTGGAACAAATGACAATTTGGATTTTAAAAGAAATACATATAAATAAAAAGCAGGAAGCATTAGTAGAACAATAGGCTTTTGAAGGTGCTAGTCAATTTTAGGGGGGAAAACCTGATGCACTGTTTTATTGAGTGGTGTTTCAAATTGAGAGGTGCTAGACCCAGGGACCTAGGGGGAGAAAAGCTCTATTAAGTCACAGTAAATGTAGAAACCCCTGCTTCTACTCACTCACATTTCTTCTAGTCTACCTGCTTTGATCCCAAGAAAAATGCCTCCAGAAAACACCAGAGACAGAGTTTGGTGGCTAGGCTATAATATTTGCTCTTCAAGGCTGATCCTGTTGACTTCCTGGACTCCTGGTCCAGTCAGTACCTGTTCCATTCTCTCTGAGAGCCCAGTTTTCCTCTTTCATTGTAATTGTTTGAAAAGAAAACTGTCTCCTGCAAGGATATAAAATCCAAATAGGCAAAAGAAAAGTTGGGATTTCACCATCATCCGGCCATATTTAGCAGACTCTCAGTTGGAGAATTTACAAGCATAATTGCACAGGCAATGATCTCTGTACAATAGTTTCTCTTACCTTTGCATTTATTTTGTAAGACAAACAAATGAGTAATGAATCTATAAATGACAGTCCAAATAATAGAGGCATGCATAGTTAGACTAGAATACATTAATTTGAAACATGAATTGGGGAAAAGTACAATTTGATGTGGCAAATGAGAGACCAGATATAACAGAATTTATTCATTCATTACAAACTTGCATGTAGGGGTGCCTGGGTGGTTCAATCAGTTAAGTGTGGGACTCTTGGTTTCAGCTCAGATCACGACCCCCACGTCGGGCTCTGCGCTCAGCATTCTGCTTGAGATTCATTCTCTCTCCCTCCCCCTCTGCCCCTCCCCCAGTTCATGCGCAAGCATGTGCTCTCACTCTCTTTCAAGTAAATAAATAAATAAAATCTAAAAAAAAAAGAACTTGCATGTAAAAGAATAGGGCTACACAAGAGGGTGGTAGAGAATACAAATGTGAATGAAACACAGTATTGGTCCACAAGATTAGGTTCAGTTTGGGGAGGGGGAAATAAAAGGAGTTTAGAAGAATTATAAGCAGTATCTTTGTATCAGACACTGTACTATGTATAAGGTGGGAATAAAAGTGAGGTTTGAGTGTGCAAAGAATATGAGGATGAATCTACCATGATTCTTAGCCCCAGGGAATTTACGGATGAGTGGAGAAAAATAAAACATGAGGGTTGAGTACTGTTTTTTATTAGGGGACTCAAGGAGATTAAAAAGCATTTAATACATATAATGCATACATTTCACACCTAAAATGATTTGTAAGATCATACATTTGCAAGGCACTGTACTAAGTGATGTAGGGTATGAGAAGAACGAGAAGAAATCTATAAATGTACTTTGAGCCATTGAGGGAATTGATATAGAATGAGGTTGTATCATGAGACATGTAAAATCACACAGCTTTGGGGCGACTGGGTGGCTCAGATGGTTAAACGTCTGCCTTCGGCTCAGGTCATGATCCCAGGGTCCTGGGATCGAGTCCCGCATTGGGCTCCCTGCTCCTTGGGAGCCTGCTTCTCCCTCTGCCTCTCTCTCTGTCTCTCTGTCTCTCATGAATAAATAAATAAAATCTTTTAAAAAAAAATCACACAGCTTTCTCTGTGTAAAGTTGAACTGTCCTGAAGGTCTTTTTTTTTTTTTTTAAATGTAATTCCCATACCATAAAATTCATCATTTCAAAGAGAATGATTCAGTAGTTGTTAGTATACTCACAGATTTGTGTAACCCTCACCACTATCTAATTTCAGAACATTTTCATTACCCCAAAAAGAAATCCCATACCCATTATCACTCATCCCCTTTCCCCACCACAAACAAGTCCCTGGCAAATTCTAATTTATTTTCTGTCTTTATGGATTTATCCCTTCTGAAAATTTCATATAAATTATACAGTAGGTGGCCTTCTGTGACTGGCTTTTTTTGTTTAGCATAATATTTTCAAGTTTAATGCATGATATAACATATATCAGTACTTTATTCCTTTTCCATTCCTTTTATGATTAAATAATATCCCATTGTATGGATATACAACATATTGTTTATCCAATATGTGTGTTTGAATGGTTTCCACTTGTTGGTTCTTATAATAATGCTGCTATGAACATTTGTGTACAAGTTTTGTGTACACATGTTTTCAGTTACCTTGGGCGTATACCTAGGTATAGAACTGCTGGATAATATGGTGGCCCTACGTTGAACCCTTTGAAAAAACTGCAAACTGTTTTCCAAGGTACTGTACCATTTTACATTACCACCAGCAAGTATCAGGGTGCCAGTCTCTCCACATCCTCACTAACATTTGTCATTTTAATTATAGCTAGCTTAGTAGGTGTGAAGTAGCATCTCATTGTGTTTTTTATTTACATTTCCCTGATGGCTAACAAGGTAGAGCATCTTTGTATGTACTTATTGGCCATTTGCCTATCTTCTTTGGTGAAATATCTATTTAAATCCTTTGCCCATTTTTCAATTGGGTTATTGGTCCTTTACTATTGAGTTGTTATATATACCTGGATATGTGTTCATTATCGGATATGTGTTCATTATCAGATATGTGATTTGCAAATTTTTTATCTTATTCTATGGATTTTTTTCAATTTCTTGACATGTCATCTAAAGCACAAAATATTTTAATTTTGATTAAGTGTAATTTATCTGTTTTTTCTTTTGTTCCTTGGACTTTTGATGTCATATCTAAGAAACCATTGTCTAACCTAAAGGCATGAAGATGTACACCTAAGTTTTCTTCTAAGACTTTTATAGTTTTAGCATTTACACTTAGATCTTTAACCTAATTTGAATTATTTTTTGTATATTGTGGAAAATAGGGATCTAACTTCTTTCTTTTGCATGTAAATATTCAGTTGTTCCAGCACCATATGTTTAAAAGACTAGTCTTGGGCGCCTGGGTGGCTCAGTTGGTTAAGCGACTGCCTTTGCCTCAGGTCATGATCCTGGAGTCCCGGGATCGAGTCCCGCATTGGGCTCCCTGCTCGGCAGGGAGTCTGCTTCTCCCTCTGACCCTCTTCCCTCTCGTGCTCTCTTTCTCTCTCTCTCAAATAAATAAATAAAATCTTTTAAAAAATAAAAATAAAAAATAAAAGACTAGTCTTTCTTCGTAGGAAACTGACCATAAAATGTGAAAGATTATTTCTGAACTCTCAATTCTATTTCATTTATTTATATTTCTAACCTATGTCTCTACCACAGATCTTGATTACTGTAGCTTTGAAGTGAGTTTTAGAATTACTCCATTTTGAAGTGAGTGCTACAACTTTATTCTTTTTTTCTGGATTGTTTTAGCTATCCTGGTCCTTTGTGGTTTCATATTAATTTTAGGATCA